ATGCTCCCTAAATAATAAAAAAATAAATTACAGCGAAAGCAATGAAGATTTTGTAGGTTTTGAACCAAACTAAATAACAGTAAACCTTTTTTTGATTTACAGTATTTTCTTACTTTGATGTTTTGAGCTCTTTTGTGTTTAGAACAATATATATACAAATTTGTAAAGTATCAAATTGAATTTTTGTTCAATAAAAATCTTTCAAATGCGACTGTAGCGTTTTTTCCACCAAAACTTTGTCTCCAAAATAAGGGTGCGTCTTATATTCCAAAAAATACGGTAAATATTCAATATACATATAAAGAAAGATGCATGCGTGTGTGTATATAAATGTTAGGATTAATTACACTTGTTATAAGACAACAGTGTTGGGCCTATATACGTTTTCAACAATACATTCTTTATTTATTCCTTTCTAGATTCTTCAAGAAGTGCATCCATTAAAGAATATTCTAAATGCAATGTAGTGTGATACCTATAAAACCTGAAAATATGATGACCTTTTTGTGAATTTTTTCCTATAAATGTTTACAAGACTACACTACTGCACCTACGAAACTTTTTTGCTCAAATAAGATTAATCTTATACATTTGCTATAAATTCAAAAAATACCAAATATAACATTTTCAGGTTTGTGTTAGATATTACCTGTGTGCATGTTGTTCAAAAAAATTTCACCAATATTATCAGTATAGTAAGGAGTAATACAAGACTAATCAGCATTAGTAGGGTTAGAGCTTGGCAATTAGTGGAACTTACTAATTGATTATTCACCAAGCTCATTAATCAATGGCATTTAATTAATTGGTTATTCTCACAAGACTTAGACAGTCAGAATAATCAAAAATAGTAATAATCAGTTTCAGTTAGTGAGTCATGATACTAATTGATTAAAAAACTTTGAATTAATTAAAAATCATAATTGTAATATTTCAATTATATGGATAGATGGAATAACCGAAAACATTAATTTCAATTTAGTTTTTTTATGACTAATTGATTTAATTGTTATTTTGATTAATCAGTTATTTTACATGATACTAATCAATGCTCATAGGGAATGGATTATATTGATTAATAGAGTTAATTGCCAAGCTATAATATAGAGGTTTAAACAGGCTGTTTTCTGTGAAGAGATTTATTGTAATTCCAATTAGTGCACAGAAATAAAACTCAAGTAATAAACAGCAAGGAGACTTGAATGAAAAAGATACGACCAATAAGATATAGACCTCAAAACTGAATATTCATTTTCACACACACACACACAATTTTTAACACAGAAAGCAAAATGCCTATTTATCAAATATGAACAAAGTTTTCCAAAAAATAATATTAACACACCAAGTTTATTAATTAAAAAATCAAACAAACAATATAACTAAATATTTTCAAAGCATCTGAATCAAGGTGAAACTTGAAAAACATTTACCAATACCAAGACACTAGTTTTTATTACAAACACTGGAGTATTAGTTATTTTCTTATTCAAACAGTAAATTCATGATAACAAAAAATGGTAGAAACAAAAATGCAAGGATTGGAATCATAAAAAAATATTAAGTGTTACAAGTTTTCTTCAAAATATGATCTGACTTAAATGAAATATATATGTAGGTAGATCAGTAAAGACAGAACACTTAATTTAACATTAAACCTTAAGCAGAACTTATGCTATACCTTTTAAATAACACAAAAATGTTACAAACCTAGGAATCAAATCAAATGTGTTAATAGCCAAAAGGAACTGATGTCAAACATCGTTAATATAAGACGTTAACCACAAAGCACCAGTAAATACCAACATCGTATGTCAGATTAAAGCGTTGTACAATAACCTGTTTTTATGGGAACAGATAAAAGATATTTGCCTTGAAATGCCACTCAGTGTGAGTATTTAACAAATAAAACTGTTTGAAAATGACAGACTACATTTAAGTAGCAACCAATGAAATACTGTTCAACACATACTGAATAATACAGCAAACTATAACAGATACTTGAGATTTGTCATATCATCTATAAGGCCACCTTATTTCTAGGTTTCTAAAGATTGTTTTTAAAAGTTAACAGTAAATGCTTGTATTTAATAGTTAAAAGTCTATGCACACCAAGATACTAGAGAACTAATTCGTGGTTTAGTTATTAATTCAATAACTGCAATGTGATAAAGTTATTAAATATTACAATGTGTAAGAAAAAAGAATGACATAGTAATGGATACTGGTATGAATTTTATCTGTAGAACATGTTTTTCTGGTCTTATACAGAATAAAAAATTATGGTTCTAACTTCTGGTAACGCAAAGTCATTATTCTTAAAAACTATCAGTTTAAAGACCACAGAATTTATAAACTTTTGATTATATAGTTATAGTATTTATTATGTTATGTGCAATAATTTATAAAATATATTTAACTTCTAAGTAAAGTTCATAACCATTACCAGGTGTGGGTCACATTTACTAGATAGGTTTTATGTAGTTTGCCGATACATAGATGCTTTTTTCATTTATCTATGAAAATATACAAAAATGCAAAACACATACATACCCTGGCTTAATCATAGTTTTCTACAGAATTCAGGAATTTATAATAATTTATCTGTAACAAAACTTAAATTTCATAGAAAAAAATAATAAAGCTGAACAATTTTATACAAATTTGACCAAGCAATTTTTTCTTACTTTCATTTAAAACTGGCACAGCTGTACATGTACAAATTTTTTCTCCTTATTCATATTTTGTCACATTGTATCCATGGGTATATTAAGCTGGCCTTATATGAACAAATCACTTAAATTTATATGCTAGTAGCTTATAATCATAAACAATTTCAAAGTGAATTCTCAAGTTTAAGATAGCTAATTTTGAAATTAACACATCTACAATAGCTAAAGAAAATGCATAGTTACCAAGATCTGCTGCCTGCTGAATGAATACCTTTCATCTAAAACTCTTGAAGAAAATGCAAAGATATCCAAGTTATCTTGTGAAAACAATGTCATAAAAAAATAAGTTGGCTGTTGTTGATAAATATTATGTACATTTCTTACATTTGAGATAGATTACTTAACCCTAACTTATTCAATAGTTTTTCATTTAGAAATAACAGATATGATCAATAACCAGGTTCATCGAAACCTATAGAAAGGTATATAAAACGTGAGCTAAAACCTGATTTAACAGTAACGATTGTGCTTGATACTAACATTGATCAAGTTAAAAAAAATCTTGGTCAAAGTAACCATCTGTTTCACAAAGAAGTGAACTTTAGGATTAATTATTTTCATGTTACAAAATATTTTGTTAATCTTCTATAAAACAAATTTATTTCTAAATAGAAGCTTAATATAAAACAGATAATGAAAATGCTAATTTCTGTATTTACACAAGAATAGAATAAGTACATGAATATAAAAACCACTCATTAGCTTGAACACTGTAATTACAAAAACTAGTTTAAAGTTTATTATCTTCTGTTGATAACAAACTTAAATAAATGGATGGAGAAAAAAAATATAATACAATTTCGTTACTCATAACATCAGACTCCTGTGAAATTGTATTGGTACTTATGACTGGGATTGTTTCCAATCAAACAAAAGTATTTTCTTACTTTAAACCTTAACATTGCACTTAAGTTTTCTCATTCCTTTACACATACCTCCAAGTTTTGCACAAGCTTCTACACTTTTCACTCATTACTGGTTTGTAATAGAGCATTCAGTCAGCATTAGTAAATCCTGTCCCTTGTCATCTGTACTTTTTTCAGGAAAAATTAAAAGTATTTACTAATTCCAATACTTATGATTTGTTCACAACTCACTTTCACAGTCGATGAGATTGCAAAGTTTCATACTTTAGTAAAACATATCAGAAAATCCAGCTAGTTGCAGGGAAATAATTACACATAAAATGAACATCCAATTGAAATTTAGAAAGTACTTAGTAACATGTCTTTTCTCAAATGATTGACATGCTAAAAATAGTGATCTAACTAGAGATTTCAAATTGGATGAATATTACATTGTTAAAAGATAAGTATTCTATTTCAATGATGTACATTTGTGTCTTTAGTGCATTAAATTCTTCTCATAAGAAATCAGTGGGATATGTCTTGTTGGATCACCCTGTACATTAATTATTGTACTTTAAGTGATTTTATATTTACTGATGAAAAATAGGCCTATAAATTTAAAAACAGAAAACTTTCCACAATCAAAAATCTATAAATTCTTATATTGAAAATAAAACAAATAATATGTTTGAAACTGTACAAGGGTCTTAAATGTGTAATTTGTTTGACATGTATTTACACGGTGGTATGGAACAGTAGTTGTGATGTTTTATATTTGAGGTAACCAGTAAAAAAAAAGAAAGAAATTCTATCAGTTAAACATAGTTTCATGCCTTCCATGGATATTTAATTTGGCCATTAGCTAAAATTTTTTGCATTTCATTCATCCTTTTACTCAAAAATCTGAAAAAAAAAACGACTAGAAATTGCTGTAAACGATGTGTTTAAGAAGCACCATGTTGTGAAGATCTACTGTTTAACCTGTTAAATTTAGAACATCTAACAGTTAAGATAATTTTAAACATTTGAAAACACTAGTAAGGAAATTTCTGATTGATGTAGGAGAAACATACATTGTTGAAGAAACTGAAAAAGTGAAAAACTTGTATATTCTTAAAGGTAGACTGCCTCAGTTTCTATAGGACGTAGTGGAATATCTGCTTGAAAAAATACATTTTAGAGAGCTACGCAGGATATTAAGTACCAACTTCCAAAAACTGTAAAATACTGTGGCACTATCTAATACCAAAGTAACTGCTAATAGATATGTTCTATTATACCTTTTATAGAAGTCCTGTACATACACAATAAGTCTGCTTTTTGTTAGCAAAATGAAAGGGATGGCAAGATAAATAATTAGCTTCTAGAACTAAGGTCTCTTTATTCACATATATATAAAAGCTCCAGTAGCACTGGCATATGAGCCATTCTGGATGAGCACAGGCTAGTAAGTCAGATAGAATAAGCAACATCTGCTGATTGTTGCAATTATTTATATTCTTTGATGGTTATCTGGTAAGGTTGGCTTGAGACAAATTAAAGTACTGAATAAGTACTTTAGTCATGTTATAGATACATACATATTTCAAAGAAAGTAAACAAATTATAGAAGGCTAAATCTCCATCAAATATTAAAACAGTCTACAAGAAACCCAATGGAAATTTAAATCTTAAGTGTTTTTAACCAACCTTTTGCTGTGAAGGTCTTTTACACCTGACTTATCAAAACAATACAAAAGAGTGGTCTAAAGGCTGTAGCAAAAGGGTTAGCAATACTTTTAAAGAATAGATATTGCACCCAAAAACAGTTTGAAACACTCTAAGACTACTTTTATTTATTTTTCTGAAACAGGTAGTATGTGAGACATTATGGTGATGTCAGCTTCACATTTCAGCATGTTTTTATGACTCCGACATCTGAACAACAGGCTTATATTTCTACCTATAGTGGCAGGGAAAAGTCTGAATGACAGGTCAATAGTCCTTAAACATATAAAAAAATGTCTGGTAAAAAACTACAAACTATCTGAATATAATTTGGCAATGCAAACTATGACTGACTGCAAGACTTAAACAATATCCATTTAGTTTTAGTGACTTTTATACAAGTAATGTTGAAAATACTCAGCTATATTCAAACACGTGCAGCTTAAATTGACTTTATAATGTTTTTTTTTTCTAAGTTAAGCATGAAGTTCTGTCAAATTAAACTTAACTTCTGGAACAGTGAAAAAATTACAATTGATCAATTTTGAGCTCTTATAAATTAGTATACATATGAATGTGATCTCTATCAAAGGAGGAAACTCATGGAGTACCTAAAATATTGTAACCCAATCAGCATTTAAAAATAATATAGCATATTGAATAGGCAGTGATGTTTTGAAACAGTTTTTATATGAATGTTTTCAGTCTACAAAAATCATTTAAAAACCAGGTGTTCAGTAATACGCTTCTTTTCTTCTGTATTTCAGAACAGAAATACAGTATGTAACTTAACCATTAGCCATAAGTTGATGTTTGAACAGTGGCACAACCATACATACATACATGTAACAGTTAACGATGTGGACTATTTCTTGTACATAGAAAAACTGTTACCAAGCATGACAATCGAAATTGATAAGAAAAACAGCTTAATAGAGAGTAAATGGTTACAGCCCTTAAATAAACAGGCTTGTTTAACCAGGTAAAAAAATACAACTTGTTTTCATGACATAAGTAAAAAGACTGAAGAACAAAAAAACCCTAATTCTAACATTAAAACATAGACAAAAATTACAAGAGAAAATTAGCCAGAAGGATGGCACACAGTCACCAACCCAACAGATAAGATATAAATGAAACAAACTAATGAAAAACAAAAATTAAATGATCAACAATTAAAATTTGTTTAACGAAATCCACTTTCATAGAACAGTAAAATTCTACTAAAAAATTTCAAAGTTGGTCTTTCTCCAGGTACTAGCAGTTAGTATGCTGTATGTGAATATTTTCAGGTGAATTACATCATACGTGATGATAACATCAAGCAAAGGATCAAGTATTACAACTAATAACTTACATACATGGTTTTTATAAATAAATAAAAAAAGTTGTTTCCTTTACATACAAGTCCACTTCTGACAACATTTCAAACAACTTTCTTTTTAAGCAAATCAATAAAGGAGGTTTTCAAGACATAATGCTTAAAAAGATATGTAGTTATTAAGGATATTGTCAGTTCATTCAATGTTTCACTGGAAGAAAGTATCAACAAGGTAATCCAGATGTTTGATAGTCATCTTGAATATAGTGTAATCTTCGAAAGTAATATCTCTTTACAAAAAATTTTCCAGTACCCTACTTTGATGACAACTAACTGAACTTGTTTCGATCATAGAAAAAAATCTCACACGAACACCGGCAATAGAGTTCACATGAAATTAATTTCTGTCCTGTCTCATTCTAATCGTAATAATAATAATAATTACACAAATACTTAAATTATTTATTTTTATATGATCTTCCTTCAGTACTACTAAACCGTAATCATATATTAATATTACTTTCCAGTATTTATTAGACACCTTATGTTTATATTTTTCATATACTAATTTCACTTTTATAACGAAATTATATCATCATTTATTTCTTTGATCTCTCAACAAGTTTGGCAAACTAAACAAGTCATATTGGTTAGCCTTTCATATTTGTTGTTTTATGGCGATATTAAGAAGTCTCACACTTTGTGGAAAAATGATACAATTGTATTACACTCATACTGAAAGGAATTTTGTAAAACTAATATTGAAAGTTTTTACATTTGTTATGGCTTACTTATTCTCAACAGAATGGCATTAAATGCTTCATGTAGAAATGACTAAATAAGTATGGATCATGTAGATAGAAAGGAAAGCTACATTATCAATCACACAATAAAGGAAGGAAGCAGAATTCAAAGATGACATTGAGAGCAAAATCCAAACAAACAAAATCAAGCAAATCTAAGTTTTTACATTTGTGCAAAACAGGAATGTTAAATGGATAAAGGCTAAAAATCTTCGAGTAGCTCAGGATAAAACCCAAGTCATTTATCGCCAGAGATCATAGTTACGACTCGATACTAAATTAGAAGTCTCTTTCTTGGTATTATGAAAAATTTAAAAAAAAACACAACAACAACAATGGTACCAAAGAAAACTATAGACTGCAAAGGAAACACACAAGAATGAAGCCAAGTCAAAAATTAAGAATATATACAAAATTATGTGGAAATGTACATATAAAACTGTGTGTACATAAATGATCTAGAAGAGAACTGGGAAGTAGCAGGAATGTGAAAAAAAAACTGTTGCTGTTAAAGTGCACTGAAGAGGAACTTACACATGAAGAATTAGTGGTACTATCAAAACATTAGGCAACATTGTATAACATAAATGAAACAATAGGCGTGATTTAAAAAAAGCAAAATGACATAAAACTATCATTTAATTCTACAGAGGTCTGAGTGGGAAATGTCATTTACCAGATCAATTTAAGATTTCATGACAAGGGAGCATACATGTGTTATAAGTGTTAGTGATGTTTCACAACAATAGTTCAGTAACATGATACAATTCATCTCCATGATCTTTTATTTTTCCTTATTCAAAACACAAGATAAAGTAAAAACAAGCCAAATAACAAACAAGCCATTCAGAGTATAAAAGTAATTAGTAAGTTTTTTTTTTTTACCAAACCAAATGAAAGTAAATTTTGTGTAAGGCTTTGACAAGATGACAGAAACAAGCTTACCAAAACTTTAAACTCACATGAGAATCATTGATAAAATACATAGAAACAAAATTTTAGTATTGATGAAATCTGGTGAACAGGCCATATTTAATATTAATAACAATTTCATTAAAGCTTTGCTTTATTTATTTGAGAATGGGATTGCTTCTTTCATGCAATGTGTTCTTAATCCACGGCAGTGTAACAGTAAGTAAATTAAAACTACAGTATTTATATCTAAGTTTGAAATTCTGAGGACCTGTAGCAAAGTTATATGGCAAGAAGGGCAGAAAAACTGTTGATGACCAGTCCAGCACCAATGACTGACCAAACAAATGTGTGTCCATGGACTTTTTGAGCTATTTCTCTCAAATGCCAAAGTACATTAACCAAAGATTTGTTGGTGATCTTGACTGATCGAGTCTTTTCCTATTAGAAGAAAATAAATACAGGAAATAATTATAACTACAGAAGAATAAAGGGAAAACAAAGAGGATATGTTTGTTAAAACTATCATATTAAATACAAAAGGTATCTGCTACTTCTTTACTAGTATATATCAATTTTATCTACATATTTCAATACATTCCAGTCTGAGCATTTTACTGAGGAAAAAGGAAAAACAAACAAACTACTTTCGGAATATTACCTTAAACACTACAGGAATAAATTTTGAATCAAGTAAAAGCTATTTGTTTCTAGTAGATTGAAAATTTACCTAATATATAAATACATTATTAATAAAATTACACACTAGTATGAAGTAAAACTAAAGATAGAACATTTCACTTGCAGCTGTCATCCCAAGAGCAATGGTGTCAATCAGATGAGTACAGGAGGTCTTGAAGAGAGTTTACAAAGTATATCATATTCAGATTTCATAAAGAAGAATAAAAGAGTGAAACTTGTTGCTTTTCATGCTTACTCCCATTATGTTTACACATTATAAGCTCTATCCAGGATACACACTAAAGTTAATTAAGAAATTAGAATGTACATGTTTTAAGTTTGTTTCAGAACACCTTAACCCTCTCCAGATGGGTCATGGGTCAAAGGCCATGTCATTCAAAAATTTTATTGAACTGCTATTTCATAAAGTTATGTCAATAAGCTTGGTATCAAACTGTAGATTATTATTCAAATTTTAATATTATTCGTTACTCAATTTCTTAATTTAAAATTAATAAAAAAAACAGTTAACACATTGATTTTTTTGTGTGCCATGTGGTATGTTGAATGTAGTACTGGTTCAAATTAGATGTTTGTGATGTCAAAG